CAACTTCACAAATAATACATGCTGGTCTTGAAATATAGATTCTAGGTACTGACGTTGTTTATCATCTTAATAACGTGTTATAGTGTTCTTTTTTTTGTCTTTGTAAAATATTAACCTTAACTGTTTAGTCAGTTTTTCGTAATATCCTTTTGGCGTGGCTCGGTACTGCATCCCGCCAATATGTTGTTGTGCTGAGGTCATTTTTTGTATTCTTGTCTTTCATTTTTTTATTCTTGTCTTTTATTTTTGCTTATGTGATTTGTCCTTATGCCATTTTGTTTTCTTTGTTGACATATTTGTTTGTTTTTATAGTGATTAAGATTATAACACAATGTTGATTGATATACCCCTATTTTTGACATTTTTACCTATTATGTCTGTTTGTTTTAATCACACATTGTTTTCAATATAATGGAATTTTATGCGATTTCATACAAGTGAGAGGTTTAGCTAGCTATAAAACCAGGTTTAATCCACCATTTTCTATATAAGGAAATTCCTGTACCAAGTCAGGAATATGACAGTTACTTTCCATTCGTTTGATGTGGTTTAGCTTTTGATTTTGCCTTTTGATAACTTGCCGATTTGAACTTTCCTTTTGAGTCCGGTATTTTTGTTGTTTTACTTTTTAAAGTCATATGAAATTTTAATGTTATCGAAATTATTGAACTAATGCATTCATATATACTAAACTAAGGCTTGTATGCACGTTCTTTTTATATCTATTATGAATCTATAACGTATTATTGACAAATAATATTTCATTGATTCAGTGATTGTTTATCGCAAGCTTATTAATTTTCGATTTTTGTGCCGAAGTTTACCGGATCGTGACATTGATAAACAATAAAAACAGAGCACGTGCAAAACGTGACAAATAAGTGAATTCAAAGAGCCATGACAATCGTTTTTTTTCCATATTTTCCATGTGTTTCCATTTGTTAATTAAAACCTTTCTTAACAGTTCTTCATTCAATAGGACAGGTGAACTTGCAAAAGTTTAAATACCTGGTCAAGATAGAGATGGCACTGTGGAAAACTTTCATTGGGTTCGCAATAACATATAATTAGCATACCTGACAGGTAGCAAGTAATTACGTACCTTGACCATTTCGTACGTCTGCAATTTCGTACGCAAAATTACCATTTCGTACCCAACATTTACTATTTCGTACCCACGATAAAAACCATTTCGTACCATATGGGCCGAATGCATCTACCATTTCGTACCCCATGGGCTAAATACATGTTTACTTTTTCGTAACATATATTTGTAAAAGTTCTCATTTTTTTAAGATATAAAACTTTTTTAGATTTTTTGACTTTATTTCTATATAATATTTCATAGGTGCTTTAATTTTGAATTTTAGGCATTTCTCGTGAACTCTACCGCCTTATAGTAAAAGGTCAACGCGACTGTTTCAACCAAGAAATGAAACACATATAAATTTCCCGCGAGGTACGACGTGGAATACACACAACCTTCCATAAGGTACGAAATGGTATACATGTAAATATTCCCTGAGGTACGGAAAGGTCAAGATACGAAATGGTTAGGGTACGAAATAGTTTTTGCCAGGGTATGACATGGGGGATAGGAAATGGCTAGGGTACGAAATGACTATAATTCACCTGACCTGGTCATTTGAAGTATTGTCTTCACGTTTCCTACATCGTGTAACTTCTCATATAATAGTAAAACCACTTTTGCAAATAAGTACTTGGCGTGAATCTTCATTTAATATTTGAGTTTTTGATGTGGATATGAATTTGAAAATGGCTGCAAGGTCCAAAACTGTGTTATAATTGTTTGTATTCCAAAATCTTCTTGTTTCTGTCGGCATTTTTGAGGAATGATCCATAAATAGTTTTGAAACATGTGACAATTTTGAGTTTTTTGTGCCAATCTAAATCTAAGATGACGGCCATAATTAAAAATAGTTTGACATAGAACCCGGTGAAAAAAATATAAACATAGCGTCTTTTCATGAATCGTCTTACATGTTTAAACAAAATATTGCAATAATTATACTGGGATGATACTATGCTAATTTGCAGCCGGTTTTGTTGTCAAACCAACATAAGAATTGACCACCGGGTTGGAACATAATAGAACCATACGAGTAATACATGCAAACAAATTCTCAGAAACCGTCTCACACATTAACACCAAATCAAGCACACATGCACTAAAGAATTTCTCTACTAAATGCTAGTTTTTGGTGCATTTATAAAAACAAATGAGGGATATAGTTCAGCGTATAATCATATTGTAAATACATGAAGCTTCTTGTCCAATTAACTTATCTCAGATACCAGGATTAAAATGTTGTACAAAAGACACATCAGTGACGTTCGAATAAAAAAAGTTAAAAAGGCCCAATAGAGTACGAAGTTGAAGTGCACTGAGGACCCAAAATTCCGAAAAGTTTTTGTAAATACAGCTAAGATAATCTATTCCTTAAGTAGAAAATTTCGAAAAATGTAAAGTTTGGTAAACAATTTATTATAATTATAACCATAACAGTCTCAAACAGTGTAACCACATGTTGAGTAAATTATACTATACTTATTTTAATTGTAACTGGTCTGAAAATCAAGATGGTTGTCACATTTGATCACCGTAGGTCACAGTTTAATATATCACCCTATGAGAAATGCATGCAAACACATTTTTGTCAGAAAACATATCAAACAGCCCGAAGGATACAAGGATGGTGAACAAAATATAAAATTAATGCATGTTGTAGTTAAGCCAACAAATTCAAGTAGTTTTTGTTTTAACAAAATACCTGTAAGTCATGCTTCAGAGTGGAACGACTATAGGGAATTATAACTTCATAACACTATTATATGTATTATGCCGATTACAGTATGACAGTCCCAACATAACATGACTCAACCATATTAACACTTATCCAACAATACAATCCACTCTGATCTGTGTCCACAGTTCTATAATATGAAATTATATAATTTGAAATGACTTACCTGGGCGCTTCCCCTTTCTGAAACACACAACACAAAGAAAAAAACCCAACGAAGGACAAACATGTGTACAACTCTAGATTGACTAAAAAACCAACCCTAAGCAAATAAATATTGTAACCTTTCGTTGAAATAAATTTTAACAACACGTTTACTTAATTATATTTAACTATTTTCATAATCATATTTTCAAAATTTCTAGTCAAAGAATATAAGTGGGTGCTTCATGCCAATTTGCATATAATTTTTCTAAAAAGAAATGTCAACATTTTTTTTTAAGGGAGCAATATCATACCGTACAGTCGAGCCGTATCATTTTAGCTATCCTGGTACAAAAGGCGTGTTTATATAAACTATATAAAACAGAAGCCATAACTTACTGAAGTCACATAAATTTCAATAACAGTTTATATGTTCGTATACAGAATGCTTCATTATTTATTTTGAGGGAATATAGATTAGGATATAGCTGATTGCATTTTAATGCACTTAATTATTATTTTGATATGTGAGATTCTCATCGTAATTTTTTTCTGCAAAGCCTGTTGCAAATTTCGCTCCTGCAAACAGAGATTAACTCAATTTGATAAAAATTTCGCTGTTTTGAAAATGTTTATCGCCTCACAATTAATAATATAATCAATGAATAAAATAAAGAAACTTTACTGTTTTGCTAATTTGAAAAATGTTTACAATTTGATCGATATCTAAAATCAGAACTAAGTAAGGAAATCTTATAGTTAGAACATTAGGAAAAATACCCAAACAATTTTGTAGGGAAATATTTCATTTGATGCTTTAATTATAACATTAACGGAACTAATGTTAATGCATTTTATGCACATTTCAACAATTAAAGTCTCTTCAGTGATGCTCGCGGCGAAAATATTTGACAATATCAAAGCAGATAAAACCAAAAAGGACCTAAAGTATAGCTTAAGTTAAAGATAACTTAACATGACACCTTATGTTTGTGATTATGTCAGCTTAAGGTTTACAAGTTAAGACAAGTCAATAACATTAGTATGCAGTTGTATTAGCAGAAGCACATCCCATTTCTAGGGTCTTCTTCCTTCAGTAATAACTATTTTATTGTCTTTGAAACTTTTTCCTAGTTTAAATGGCTGAAAGCTTTACAGATGGCTTAAGATTATTTATCGCCGATTTTCAATCTATATAGTTTCTATGTACTTGTACATGAAATGAATGTAAAAGTGGCTCCTTCCGGTTTACAAATGTTCACTTCCGTTTATTTTTTTGGGGGGTCTAAATCTTTTAAGTTCGGCAAGACAACATATATATGACCTTCAAAAAGTCAACCATTAGTGACCTTTTGCACACCGAAAGTAGCCAATTATATCCATTATTTCAAAGGAAAATACATGAAACCTTATATTTTTGGAATCAGTGACACCGAAATAGCTAACCATTTTCCTTAATTCAAACAAAAGACCTACAAACTGCGTATTGTTGGAATATGTGCAAGACCTTCTGACATCGTTTTTGTTTATGAAAGTTACTTTTTGTATATCAAAAAACGTTTTTGCATATATACCTGTATAAAAGTTCATTTAAACCTTAATTATCAACATGGGAGGTCGAAAGACCGTATATTGTTCTATTAATAATAGATTTTTGATTAATTAAATTTGTAAAATCTGAATTGATTGACTTTTCTATTTCATATAGTATTCTTCTCCCTGCATGTGTTAATCAGGTATGTGGAATTGTAAAAACATGATTTACACACAATCAATAGTAAAAAGATCTCTAAAGTCACTGCACTAAAATTAAATAGATAATACAAAGCAGTACCACTTCCTTTTCTTATAAATAATGATGTTAATCACTACAGAAGGCCAACGTTAGACATTATTATGTTTGGTTGCAGTCACACTCCGGGCTTTCGCAGGCCAACACAACTGACACTTCAACATGTTAAATCAATCCGATCTATATTCTAACTTTTAAACTCAAACGAACATAAAATATTCATAAAAAAAACACAATCGCTAACATGGGAGACGCCACTTCAAGAGACCAACGCACATTTTATTATTCATATTTGTATATTAATATGGAAAGTTGGTGTAAATACACCGAAAACTAGCAGTTGGTACTGGTTGCCGCATCCTGGTGGTCAACAAAACTGAAAATAAATAATATCAATTATTATATAATTTATTTGGTAAAATGATTCTGTACACATTGACTGCAATGGTTCGAATGACTTAAACTTCATGATGGGCTCGTGCATAAAACGCAATTACCCAATCGAACCAAACTTACTATAAATAACTAAAAACTTGTTAACTACAAACAAACAAAATTTTACATGTTCGAATCTTTGTACAACTTTGATAAATACATAAAACCACTCCACTACCGATATTCAACCATATGTATTATCAAGACTGTTGATGACTTAGCATCAAAATGAATTAAGAATGCGCAAGTAGTTATAGTTCATTTCATTTTCTACTTTATTTTCATTTAAATTTTAAAGAAATAAAATGAAAAACTAATCCAAGAATGAAATATAGAACAAAATGTAATTCGTGACCACAAAACACTGATAATTAACTCATGCACTATGCGCATTCGTTTACTAACCTGTTGTTCGGTTATTTGTCAAATAGTTTTCTATATTGGAATAAATTGGCATTTGATCAATTGTCGAAACACCATTTGTTTCAAATAAACGATTCTCCGAAACTAACATCATAAAATTTCCTGATGTTTTAAATGATAATTATTTGTTAAGTTTAAAAAACGTCTTTTTCAACAAGCAGTCGTCATTCCTATGGGAATCCACTGTGTCCATAATCTTGCATACTAATTCATGTATTCTGTTGATGAGGTAGACTTCGTACTGGAGCTCCTCTAGAAAAATGAAAAGAAGCTGACATTATCTTTTTCCGTGACGTAACGATGTCATGTGATCATTGCCAAACATTGAATGGGATACAGTTTACAAAAATCATTACTCGAAAAGTTGTAAAGTGAATTAAAGTAAATACCATGCAATCTTCACAGAGAGGCCCTAGATAACCATCTTGATGGCAACGACACCTACCACATTCACAGTATCCATGGTTATTACATACGGACTGAAAAATAAACCACACATAAATATTCTGATCTATCAATAACATATATATCTTCCTTTTAATGATTTAATTATAAATGTAAATTCTGATTAACTGATATTCCAACACCCTTTAGTTAAATCTACCTAATATGGTTCAGACTATTCTTTTATGTTATGTTTTGTTAAATAGCTCCACATCCTTGGCTTTCATTTTTGTTTTGTTCTGAAAAGCTTTGTACATAATTTCTAAACGTGATGTTTATGTATTATATATATTTTTGTATTAAAAAAAGCAACATTTACTTTGTGAAACTATAAAAAAACTTGAATAAATCGATATATATATATATATATATTTATATAATTCGTCTCAAAATTAGACGTGTATAATAAAATTAAAAATTTGATGTGGCGGCATGGTAATTAACATTATCATCCTTTGACTGTCCCTCTGGTATCTTTCGTCCCTCTTTTACGACAGACAAAATAGCTGATCTGAAAGGTACAGCATCTACTTGCCACTATACATCATGTACTGTGTTACAACCCTAGATAAAGACGACGAGGAAAGGCATTAAATCGACCACCGAAAGCTATATTTTTATGTAGCCTAGGATGTCGAGTGGTCAAGGACGCTGGACACGGTGGAGGCTGTGTTACCACGATGTCACAGACACAAGGGTTCGAATCCCGCTGAGGGAAGAACAAAAATTTGCTAACGCAAAGTTGAAGATCTAACATTGTTGGGCTAAATTTTAAACGAATTACATATATGGTGTTAGCCCTGTATAACCACGTGTTACCCGATGGAGAATGTCTGTCATAAAGTTGTCACATGTTTAGACGTGTACATATATATATATATATATATATATATATATATATATATATATATAAACAAGTCTAAATTGAAAACAACGTTCTATCCTATGATTGCGTTGGATAAAAACCGCAATTTTTATACGTGTGCATGCAAAACAAATTTCTTGGTAGAGGGGTCTAAATACAGCACAAACAACATTTTCCAAAAGACCAAATGAGTGAAAAAGTATATTTTAACAAAACGCATTTGACTAGCAGGTCGAACAACTGATGTTCATAAACCCTGCTGACTGCCATTGGCGATTGCCAAATAACGGGTCACCGATGTAATAAATGGATCTCAATTATAAATTGAATACTAAACAGAAAACAATAAACCTGCGGAAAAGATGGTATACCGCAAACAAAAGGTGCAAAGGTTTTTGTACACCATATCCGGAATTCGACAATTAATGTCTCTTCAGTGATGTTAGGAATCGAAACGGTATTTGGAAGGCCATATAATTTACCTCAATTTAGGATAGACTCTTGAATTTTGAAAGAGTCAAAATAGGAGGAACGAATCATATAAACCCAAAGGCAAATATAATACAAGCCCAAACGAAAAAATATAAACAATATATATAAATGAATTAACGCGTGAAATTGCAGACAAATGCAAAATAAAAAAACGAAATTATATCATGCAAAACGACATTTACGGAAATCCCACTTACGTATGAAATTGTGTGATGTTATTCCTTGATATTCTAAGAGAAATAAATATAAACTGGGCCTTTTTTTATGATTTTAAATGCATTATAATTGTATTTAAAATTTAACTTGTTAAGCACTTGTTCCGTTGATTGCTAGCGTTTAATTTTGTCAGATTTAATGGACTCACCCCCCTTTTTTTAATGTGCCTTGGAGTTCAGTATTTGAGTTATACTTTTTTAAGCATTTTCATAAAGTTCACACGAATATATTTTATTTTTTATGACTAAAACGTACATATTATATGTTAACTCACCCCATCAGAAGAGATACATGTATCTGTATTAGTCGTACAACCACAGTTATCACCGGTATAATCAAGGGTACACGAACAGGTACCACAGACACACGTACCATGAGCAGGACCTAAAATGTTGATATGGAATAACCTTTTTAATCAATTCATAAGTTGACAATTTTTAAGAAATCTAAATGAAAGAGCTGTTTCCCTTAAGAGGGATACATTTTTCATTGACAATGAAGAGCAAGTGGAAGAGCAAATGTAACTGTCATGATGTGTGTAATCTTCAAGTTTTCATATCTTTTATCATTTAATTACATTTAACCTTTTCTTAAATTAAAAAAACCTTTTTGAAAAAAATAGGTCTTTTCGGTTTTTTAAGCTTTTCAAATACGTATTAAAAGCGAGTCTGGCGTACCAAATTTTAAGGATAGTATATTTGATGAGTTTTTTTTTGGGGGTTTAAAACTACATCAGATAATTGGAATATCTTCGTACGAATAGTTCAACAGTTGGTATACACACTCAGAAGATATGAATAGGGATTATTGCTGGTTTAAACCGGTTTCTGCACATTTTTATCCCGAAAGATGGCATACAACAATCAGCAAACAAGAATGGATTGAAAAATATAAACTTCAACATAAGATAACTGTGCTTATTTTATAGATAACTATACAATTTGCAAGTCCACTTCCATTCGGACCTTTTTATAAATAGACTGATAAACTGCATAAGTTTAGGCATAGATAATATTATTTGATATCTTTTTTATCTGAATTATGTAGCTCTGAAATCAAATTAACGACATAGAGTTTTACTTTGAGACAGGTGAAAAAGAAGTAGGCTGCATCTTGTAAATCATTTTAAACTAAACACAAGATGTAATGTATTATAAAGTTCAAACCTCCACATAAAGCATTGTCAAAGTAGTTGCATGATCTGTCATTACATTCACAATTGTCGCCGTAGTAAAACAAATAACAGGAACATCTTCCATTAGTATTTCCTATGTCCGAGGTTCCCGGTGTGCTTATGATATAATCACCATTGCGACTACATTTTGGACTCTTCAAGTCGACATGTCCCTACAATTCATAAAAAACAGATACAAAAAAAAAATAAAACTATTGAGTAGCTTCATAAGAATTATTTCTGTAGTAGTAATAGAACCCAATACTAGTAGTACTTGAAGTAGTAACAGTAGTGTTAGTACACATTTCGAAAACTAATCAACACCGATACCTACACTTTATATTTCGAGAACGAAAGACAATAGTGATACAAACAGGTGTTATCTCTGCATAATCAAAATGCAATTACCATAAGGATGTTTCAAAATAACAAGATTTTTAAAATACTGTTATAAGGTAATAGTATATAAATAACCGTGTCCTTGTTTTTGAGATATCAACAATTGAAAAATACCCGGGTGTTCCCAGTTAGAAATACTAGTACTGGGAACATCGGGTTAATTAATAAATCTGATCAGCTAATACTTATGGATTATAGATCAATACATGTCTTTTTACCATATTTAGATATCTGCCAATGGGCTTTTAGCTCGAGGGCAAATATCTATCGAGGGATAATAACAGGGCAAGTTTGGAAAAAGGCATGTATCAATTTTATTTATTTCTTATTTGTATGCATCAATAATGTTTAATTAACCATGAAATTACTTTATAAATCAACAAGAACATTCTCGTGATTATCGATCGAAACAAAAAAATACATGTTTTTGTTAAAATTTATTGTATTTTTCCTATATCAAAGTTTCAGAAACAGATATTTACAAAAATTAAACATGTGATTTTGAATTTGATTATATGTCCTGAATGTACACAGGAGTCTCAAATAGTATATGCTAAGCTAACGGATACAATAAATTGCATATCCATAGTATAATTGACAATATACGGGATGATACGTCTGTCGATCAGAGATTAGGAAGTTGCTAGTGAAATTTATTCCATTAGGCGACATTTTATATTACAATATTTGTGTAATGAATTTTGCAAGACTGTCAAACAAAAAACTTTAATTGCAGTTGATACTCAATGTGGTCTGAAAGACGAATGAGTACGAAAATAAACTTGCTAACAATGACACAAGGACCACAAAAGGAACATTATTCATTATTGTTCCATTTTTTAATTGCTAGTTTCTTTTTGCCTTTGAAGAATCAACTGGAACATTCTCTTTTTTTTGAAATGGAAACCCCGAAAGACCTGAAAATTGGTAATCACTGTTTCTACTATAAGCAAGTGGCAATTAGGAATAAGACCACATAACAGATATCAGCAATATGATCCCATCTGTTTTTGAAATGCGCTTTTAACCATCTATACTACCTACTGAGGAGTCATAGGAAAACATGATCTTTCAATTACTAGTATATAGTATGATATTACTAGTATCGTACATATTTATGTAAGGGACATAACTCATCAAATCAACTTAAATTGTTTCTCTTTATCATTATTTGATAAAATAAAAATTTTAGGAAAAGACATAAACATAGCGTCTTCTCATGAATTGTCTCACATATTTAAACAAAATATTGCACTAATGATACTGGGATGATCCTATGCTAATTTGCATCCGTTTTTTGGGCTAAACCAACATAAGAAATGACCAAAGGGTTAGAACATAATAGAACCATACGAGTAATACATACAAACAGATTCTCAGAAACCGTCTCACACATTAACACATTAACACCAAATCAAGCACAAACGCACTAAGGATATTTCTCTACTAACTTTTAGTTTTTAGTGCATTTCTTGAAACAGACGCCTCTGAGTTCAGCAGTTTCATCTTCAAAAGACCCATTAGTGACCCTCGAATCAAAAATGTTAAAAGGACAAATAGAGTACGAAGTTGAAGAGAATTGAGGACTAAAAATTCCGAAAAGTTTTGCCAATTTATAATTATGACCTTAACAGTCTCAAACATTGTAACCAAATGTTGAGTAAATTATACTATATATAAAAAGAAGATGCGATATGATTGCCAATGAGACAACTCTCCAAACGACACCAAATGACACAGAAATTAACAACTATAGGTCACCGTACGGCCTTCAACAATGAGCAAAGCCCATACAACATAGTCAGCTATAAAAGGCCCCGAAATGACAAAAACAATTCAAACGAGAAAACTAACAGCCTAATTTATGTACAAAAAAATGAACGAAAAACAAATATGTATCACAGCAACAAACGACAACCACTGAATTACAGGCTCCTGACTTGGGACAGGCAGATACAGAATGTGGCGGGGTTAAAATAGTTTGTTGGCGCCAAACCGTCCCTCTAACGTAGGACAGTGGTGTAACAGCACAGCATAAGAACAAACTATGCAAAACAATTAACGAAAAACAAATATGAGAAACAGCAAAACACGACAATCACTCAATTACAGGCTCCTGACTTGGGACAGGCATATATAGAATGTGGTGGGGTTAAACTAGGTTGATAGCGCGTACCCTTCCTCTAACCTGGGACAGTGGTGTAACAGTACAACATGTGAACAAACTATAAAAATCAGTTGAAAAAATGCTTAACAAATCAAATGGATACAAATAAAAATACATCTAACAAAAACACAGAGTGGACGTGAACAGGTACTTATACATCCCCACAACAAAAAGACACTAAGTACAGATTGAGAGTACTCGCAGTTACTGACAGCTAGTTCAAAGCCAATAAGAACTAATAAAAAAAGTTCATGCATATAAGACTAAATTATTAATCAGTAAACATCCAACATCCAATGTATTTAGTGTAAAGACGTCATGAACAGTCAGGGAAAACATGACCTTGTGCAATGCCAAGATACAGGTATCGACAGATTGTAGAGCCATGAATGTGCAAATGTATATAACAATAATATTTAGTTTGATTTTAATTTACTGATACCAAAATCAATATTAATACCAATAAAAACAATATTCAAAGATCTAATTACAGTGTTGAATTGGTAACCTTTTAAAATAAGTTTATTTAAAGGATCGGTAATTCTACAGGATCGTTTCCAAATTTCCGGGCTCGGTAAACAACACCTCCGTACAAATGAGGATGTGCTTTCCCGTTTGAAATAAGTTTTCTACAGGTACCACCAAACTTCAAAACCAAATCTTTATATCTATGGAAGAGTTTAGTAAAGGTTTTAAGTAATTTGTGGTAACGAAATCCCTGACTTAATAATTTTCCAGTAATACATAGATTACGTTCACACTTATTTTGGTTGTAAATGATCTGAAAACCAAGATGGTTGTCACCTTTGATCACTGTGGATCACCATGGATCACAGTTTAACATATCACCCTATGAGAAATGCATACAAACATTTTTTTGTCAGAAAACATATCAAACATGCCCGAAGGATACTAGGTGGGTGAACAAAATATAAAATTATTGCATATAATCACGACGGGTGCTTACCCTTCCGGAGCACCTGAGATCACCCCCAGTTTTTGGTAGGGTTCGTGTTGCTTAGTCTTTAGTGTTCTATGTTGTGTCATCTGTATTTTTATTTGTCTGTTTGTCTTTTTATTTTTGGCCATGGCGTTGTCAGTATGTTTTCGATCAATGAGTTTGACTGTCCCTCTAGTATCTTTCGTCCCTCTTTTGTAGTTAAACCAACAAATTGAATATTTTTTGTTTTAACATAATACATGTTAGTCATGCCTATGAGGAGAACGACTATAGGGAATTATAACTTCATATAATTATCTATATTACTAATATAACGAGGTCAAATTTGTTAGCCGGTATGACACAAAACGACGAATCAAGGAATTCAGCTTTATATATATCTAATATAGGACAATGGTGTTGATTAAAAAGTACACCATTCCAGGCCCTTTTGTTTTCCACATAATTCATATTACCAATAATTAACAAGTTCCGGTCGAATCCGATACAGATACCAATAGTATATGTCACATGTAGTATCCGGTAATAGTAAGAAAACCAGGACGGGTCAAACAGAAAGGTTTTGAAAGCAGAGAAAACTGAGCACCTTATAATCAGCATGACTTTATCAGATGACAATACGAATACTTAAAAGCCAGGCTAAAAATAAGGCGTGGGTACTTTCCAAAGAGTTAGCCGGCGTGACGTTAAAACGACGAATCAAAGCATTCAACTTTATATATAACTAATATAGGACAATGGTGTTGATTAAAATTACTCTATTCCAGGCCCTTTTGATTTCATATAATTAATTTTACCAATAATTAACAAGTTCCGGGTCGACGGTATTAAACAAAAAGATTTTGAAAGCAGTGAAAACTGTGCACCTTATAATCAGCAGGACTTTATCAGATGACAATACGAATACTAAAAATCCAGGCTAAAAATAAGGTGTAGTTACTTGAATTCAGTCACGGACCCGCGACATTCTAGTTATAGATATATTATGCCGATTACAGTATGACAGTACCAACATAACATGACTCAAACATATAACACTTTATATCCAACAATACTATCCATATTGATCTGTGTCAAGAGTTGTAATATATGAATATATATAATTTGAAATGACTTACCTGGGCGCTTCCTATTTCTAAAACACACAGCACAAAGAAAAAAAAACAACGAAGGACCAACATGTTTACAACTCTAGACTGACTAAAAAAACACCTTAGCAAATAAATACTGTAACCGTTCGTTAAATTAAATTTTAACAACACGTTTACTTGATCATGTATAATTATTTTCATAATCATACATCAAATTTTCCGATTGAAAGAAAATAAGTGGGTACTTCATGCCAATTTGCATATAATCAGTGTCTAAAAAAATGTCAAAATTAATTACACGAGCAATAGCATACCGTACAACCGAGCGCTATCATTTTACATATCCTGGTACAAAAATCGTGTATAAACTATTTACACCACTTAACGTCCAATGTCCGTAATGTTTTAAAATCTTCTTCTCTGAAATTACTTGGGAAATTTACACCCACTTCCTAAAAATATTTAGTTAAACTAATCTGTCTTAATGAAATATGGAGGGGAAAAAATTCACAGACTTTATGTTGTAGTTAGCAAACAGGTCAACTTCGAATTTTAATCTAAGATCATCGAATGGTAATTTTTCTGATATTTTCTCGGACAAGTTCAATTACAACAAAATCACAAAATAAAGTTTATTGAAAAACGAAAATTTACAACGACGAAAAATAATTCGTTAAATTTTCAACGTATCAAGCTAAATACCTTCTTTAAATTTTCGAAACACTCCTCTTATCTGAAATAGGGGTTGGATGACCCACATTTTATTACTATTATCTATATGATGTATTATACTGTGGTTAATTTGATATCATTTAATTCGTTGGAACCCGGGGAAAAAAATGGCGCAAACGTTTCTTAAATAATCCGTAATTGTAATGTTATTCTTTAGCTGATTGAATATTCCGATATGTTCATGTTCAAGTTTGAAATGCGAGGTAAATATATTTGTTTATTATGATGACAATTGAAGGTCGTGTTGATATAGATCAGAATACAAAAACAAAACGTCGTACAATACTCGATCATGTTTAACTTACCTATGACCTCGTTTGCAAAATTCAAAGCTAACAGATACCATAAATTGCTTGTTCATAGTATAATTGACAATATACGGGGATGATACCGTCTGCGAATAAGAGATAACGAACATGCAAGTGACATTTATTTCCGTTTAATACAACAACATTTGTGTAATTTATTTGCTAGACTGTCACGGAAAAAAAAATTAATTGCATTAAACACACTATGTTATCTGAAAAACTACTGAATATGAAAATAAACTTACTAATGATGACAAAGGAATCACAAAAGGAACATTGTTTATTACTGTTCCATTTTATAATATTTTTTTCTACCCGCGTTATTTTTTTTTTGCTAGTTCTTTGGGCTTTTTAATTGTCAACTGCAATGTGGTTTTGTCAACGTTGTCAAATTGTAAAAGTCCGCCGCGTCAAATGCAAAAGGTTTTTGGTTCAATTCCCAGTCTGGAAACCAAAGGACCTGAAAATTAGTTTTCTCTGTTTCTACGCTAAGCAAGTGCAAGTGACATTTAGGAGTAAAAGCAAATAACTGTTATCAGCAATATGATGCCGTGTGTTTTTAAAACATATTTTAACCATCTATTTGCCTACTGAAGAGTCCTAGGAACACAGTTACAATCCATATTTAAATTACTATTTTTATTTAGGTAAATAAACAAAACTCCCAAAATTCCTTCATTTTGTTCCTCTTTATCAGTATTTGTTATAATAAAATTTTGTATTGATGCTAACAACAGCACTGTTTTATTTTTATAAACATATAATTAGCATACCTGGCCCAATGGTCTTGAAACGTATTGTCATCACGTTGCCTACATCATTTTACTTTTCGCTTCTTCTGCAAAACCACTTTTGCCAATTAGAACTTGGCTAGTTTGTACTTTACATTTCGAATTCTTAGTGTGGATCATTTAAAAATGGCTGCAATTTACAAACTTTGTTTTTATTGCCTGTATTCTAAAAAAATTACAGGATCTCTCGGAATATTTATTGAAAATATTGAAGGAATGATCCATAAGTAGTCCTAAAACAAATTCTAATTTAGATTTTTTTGGTGCCATAACAAATGTAAGATGACCGCCAGCATTGAACATAGTTTGACATAGAACCCGGTGAAAAATACATAAACATAGCGTCTTCTCATAAACAGTCCTACACATTTAAACAAAATCTTGCACAAATGATACTGGGGTGATCCTATGGTACTTTGCCGCCGATTTTGATGCCAAACCAACATGAAAAACCATAACCACGTTTAAACATAACAGAACCCTACGAGAAATACATGGTTCTAGGAAACCGTCTCACACATTAAAACCAAATTTAGGACAGATGCACTTACCAACTTGGAGTTATTGGTGCATTTCTGAAAACAAAGATGGTTACCTCTGATGGACATAGTTCAGCAAAGAATCATATTGGAAATACATACAAATACATGTACCTTCTCCAAAAAAGTCTCAAACATTGGAAACAAATTTTGAGTAGATTTTTTAAGCGATCTGAAAAAAAAGATGGCTTTCATCGTGGGTCACAATTTAACATATAACTCTATGAAACATACACACACAATGTTTTTTCGTCACAAAACATCTAAAACATTTTAACCAAATTATGCCCGAAAGACACTAGGGTGGTGCACACCGTAATAAATTCATGGTGTTGTTAATTCAATCCATTCCAAATGTTTTTGTTTTGTGTTAACACAATACCTGTTCGTCCTGCTACGGAGGGGAATAACTTAATGGGATGATGACTCCATAAAATTACCATTTATAATATACCAAATACAGTATGACAGTCTCAACATAACACGTCTCGAACATATTTTCGTTTATCAAACAGTACTGCCCACACCGATCTGTGCCCACAGTTGTTTTATATGAAATCATATCATTTGAAATGAATTGTCTTTGCGCCTCCCCCTTGTGATACATACAGTACAAAGGTCAAACCCAACGAACGACCAACAAATTTCCTTAGGAGATACACATTATAACCTTTCGTTGAATTAAATGTTAACAACCCGTTTACTTAATTATGTACAATTATTAGGATTATCAGATTTCAAGTTTTCTGATTGAACGAATATAATTTGCCTGTTATCATTGTGTAAAATGTCAAAATGTATCTTCATCATGAGCAATATCACACCGTACAACCGAGCTGTACAATTTTAGCTCATCTTGTCTAAAAGTCCTGTATGAACTATTCCCACCAATTGGCGTCCGATGTCCATACTTTGTTTACACTTGATATCTTTTCTGAAGATACTGGACAATTTGCCCATACTCATCCTTAGAATATTTAATTTTAATCTAATTTTTGCGAATATAGAAAATTTGTCAGAATGCTCTGAATGTCAAGAACTGCTATCATTCATTTAGACAAAAATTGTTCAACAGGTTTTAGCTCATAAGTTTAACTGGCGTCACAATTGTTGGTATGGAAACGTTTTGAAGAAAGTGAAAATAAAAGTAAATAAAACAAGGCGGTATCATTTCCCAAATTGACAACACCTCACTTGTCATTCCTTACCATTTCAACCGGATTCGACCTAAAGGAGTACTGCTCTCCGTTGAACTGCGTCGGGACTATGGTGAGATATATCATTGTCGCAGATGTTGGGAAAAGTTAAAATTCTGGTAATTCGATGAAAATTTTACGTTTTAGAATTGAGTGGTGCTCGTTATTATTTGAAAATCAAACAATTTTTTTTTATCAATATTGAGTTAAAAGACTAAGTCTGTTATTTTGCGAATAAAGCATAACCAGAAACGGTTAGATCTGAAATTTTCCAAAGGTTGAAAGCAAATATAAAAGCAAAGAAAATTGATGAAAACAAATCACCAATATTATATTTGTTTGAATAAAAGTGTACGTTTAGATAAAAAAAATTATCATGTGTTTCTGAAGTTTTAACCAAAATTTAATATTAAAACCTTCATGGTAAAACATGAAGTAAATATCACTGAAAATTCAACGTTATCCTTAATATTGTGGGTATTAGAGCAGAATGTATATATAGAGGTATTACTCTACTAACAAAATCTATATTGTATATAGACTTTGTGCCCAGTTTTAATAACACTGAGCATAACACGATTTTCCAAATAAAAAGAGGATTTTAACGTTCTAGATAAAGAACGTTTCTAGCGTTGAAGCTAATATTTATTTAATGTTTGCGAATTGATCTGTTTACCTGATTTGGGAAATTAATGTATGGTTTTTAATTCTGCGAAAATATATCTTAACAGTGACCCTAGCTTTTATAAGCTTTCACATACGGAAGTTTCTGAAGTTAAATTATTAAATATTCCCATTTAATTCATTTGAAAATCGATTGTTTCAATTGAAAATAATTTTTAAAAAAATCCTTACCCCTACAATAGATCGATGGTGAATGTTCGGAGGTGCCTTGATTATTTTAATTTCGACGACGTTCAACCAAGATTAACTATACACGAGCAAAGTCACAAAGTGGTAGGCGCAATCCTTTCGGTGTGACTAGGTATTTATACATCCCGCCGTTGTGTAATGCTATGGTCATTTTTTGTATTCTTGTCTTTCGTTTTTGCTTATGTACCTTGTCTATAGAGTGTCTATATGCCATTGTTTTCTTTGTTGACATAGTTGTTTGTTTTCATAGTGATTAAGATTATAACATAATGTTGAATGCTGTACCCCAATTTTTTATATTTTTGACATCCTGTACCAAGTCAAGAATATGGCAGTTTCTATCAAATAGTCCGTTTCTATGTATGTTGGCGTTTGTTTTTGATGCAATTCAGTGTTTCTGTTGTTCCGTTGTTTTCCTATTATAGTTGATTTGTTTCCATCGGTTTTGGTTTGTGACCCGGATTTGTTTTTGCTTACTAGTATTTGACTATTGACTATTGAACAGCGGTATACTACAGTTGCCTTTATTTACCTATTATGTCTGTTTGTTTTGCTCACACATTGTTGTCAATATAATGGAATTCTACGCGACTGTCATACAAGTGAGAGGTTTAGCTAGCTATAATAGGGTTTATCCGCCATTTTTTACATAAGGAAACGGCTGTACCAAGTCAGGAATATGACAGTTGTTTTCCATTCGTTTGATGTTTTTGAGATTTTGATTTTGTCATTTGATAAGGGACTTTGCGGTTTGAATATTTTTTGGAGTTCTGTTTTTTTTTTTTTTTTTTTTAACTTTTTACTACAACCAAGTCGATGTCAAGTTTCTCCCTTGAAAAAAAACTTTACTGCTTGATGATTATTCCCCGAGAGCATTATTACTTTGGTAGTTTAATGCACAATAAATAGCAATACAAAGACCAAACCGGCCGGGTTACCAAGGTCCTCTTCTGCTACACGAAATACTGTATCATTTGATGTGTTCCACGGAACATCCTACGAGACACCGATGGTTTGAATAATGTACAACCAGAAGGTAATTATGACTTTAAAAATTCGGTTACTTTTTAAAAATTAAAACCATCTACAGTTAATATTTTTGACTGTTTAAAAGACACCTGCTACTAGTTTATCAACTATCATTTCTACTTGTAAACATAAAAAATGAAAGAGGAGCACATGTAAGACATGAATATGTTAATCACTACTCCAGATTTCACCAGTAACTTCTAAAATTGTCCGTTTATAAATTTTGAAATTATAAAGAAACTACGGTTTCAACTCCCTCAGGCAAAGTTGACCTTAGATGAATTTGGCTATTTGTTTTATGTATTTTTGTCATATAGCTCTTCAACTGTTTCGGTACTTAAACATCCCTCGGATTTTAAATGTTTGGCTTTGAGCGTTCCTGATGAAGGTAAATCCAGAAAAGCGCTTCGGACGCATGAAATTATTAAACGTGTTGTTTTCAATTTTTTACATCACTGGGTCGATACCTCTGCTGGTGGACTATCAGTCCCCGAGGGTATCATCAGCTCAGTAGTCAGTACTTCGGTACTGACATGATTTATAATGCAATATTTTTTCGAATGACTATGTCGGTTTCTTTTTGACTAATTAGTTACTTCCTTTGATATCTTCCGTTTCCGTTTCCGTGAGACATTTTGTCAGTAAATTTTCAGTTCATAAATATATGTATTTGCTATAGAACAAGTGTTGAATCTCTTACCGGCAAATTTGGTTTTGGACTGTTTTGCTTGTTCTGTTTTTACTCGTAAATGTTAATGATTATCTTAAACAAAATATGTAGTTAAATGCTTGAAGTAACATGTATATAAAATTTAGAAGATTTGGTATGATTAACAATGAGACCAGATTACGTAGATGTAGGTAATTACAAAGTCAACGTACGGCCTTCAACAATGAGCACAACATATACCGTATAGTTGGCTAAAAAAGACCTGACATGACAAAATGAAAATTAATTTAAACGAGAAAACCAATTACCTGATTTACAATAAAACAACAAACGAAAAACAAATATGACTGACAGCAACTAACGACAGCCACGGAATTACAGGCTCCCAATTTAGGATTAGGCTCATACAGAATGAGGCAGGATTAAACATATTTGCAAGCGCTCAACGCTGGCCTAACCTAGGGCAGTGGTGTTACACCACAGCATAATAAAAAACTTTAAAATTCAGTTGGAAAGGTCACCAAGCACACAAATCTGAGAGTACTGTCATTTACGACTAATAAATGCATCATGTTTTCCTAGACTAAAATATCAAGTAGTACACATCCAATAGATTTTGTGTACGGACGTCATAAACAGTGTGAGCAGCATGACCATGCCTAACGACAATACATAAGTGTAGACAGGATGTCGGACATACGTGTTCATAATTGTATGCAATACATATTTAGTTGTGTATCATTTTTTTAATAACAAAATCAAGCATCGATAAAGACAACACTCAAAGTTCTTACAGTGTTAAATTGATAAACTTAAGGAATAAGTTTATTTAAAGGATCCATAAGTTTACATGAATCGTAATTCAAATAAGGGCTCTATAAAAAACATGACAGTACAAACAATGATCTGATATCCCGTTTGTTACAGCCAAACTTCTAAACCAACTGTGTTTCTGTGATAAAATATAACAAATGTTTTCATTTTGTGGTAACAAAATCCTCGACTTTATAATTTACCTGTTATATACATAGATTAAGTTTATTGAAATATATATTGTCACTGCAGACATTGGTAAAGCAAACAAGTGGGGGAAATACATACAACGTAGGGAGTGGCCAAAGGAACATCACTGTCCAAAAAGTTAAAATAAACAACAGGGAACAAAAAATCATCTCTTTTGTTACGAAAAGACAACGAAAAAGCGTCTATTTATTAGCAAAGGACGACAATTGCTGTTTATATTTTATCAACTATATGGAATCTGGACAGATATGTTCAAGGAAAAAACTAACAGCTGTAATCATCTCATTACAGTTCTAGTAAGAATATCTAGCATACTCACCCTTCTCATTACAGACGGAAGTCTTATATGAGCTGCAGCTAATATATTTGCAATCAGATTTTTTATAATCATGTTTGAATTAATGGATGTATGGATTGATATCAATTGTTCTAAAATACTGTCATACTGATCAATTAACTTTAAAAAAACAAAATAAGTTGACTTAATGATCTATTTCACAGAGCACATGTATTTTGTACCATTGATGTACATTGATACATATTAACAGTATCGCAAATTATTTCTCAGTGATTAGCCCCAAAATAATCTTCATCCTACGGGTCAATGGGGCAGGGCATTCTATAAAGAAAGAAAATGTATATTAATTAATATATACCTATCTTCTGTAAGCTAAACTAAGAAGATTTTAAGATATAACCACAATTCTATTACCTGAATATCATTCATTTTCAATGGGTTCAAGTGTTTACATGTAGACATGCCTTTTGTGATTAAATCATTAATCTTGCCTCTTTTGTTGTTTGTTTCGTTCTCGTTTTTCATTGATTTTTTGATTTGCGAATAATGTCATGTCAATAACAAATGTTAGAATGGGAAGTAGGAATAACCTCTGAACTATAAGTTCCTGCAATGAGAAAGGCATACCAAACAATCAATTATGTGGAGAGTTTTAACATGTTTGTGAACTCTAAACCCTCATTTACCAGGACAATCGTATTGAAACCAAAACAATACCACTGTAAAAAGTCAATTGTAGTGAACTCACCAGTTTGGTACTTAAGAAAGTAACGGCTCGAAATAACAAGAGATAAAAAGTACATTTGATTCTTACTTCAGCTTCCATAAGTTTATATATCATAGTCATAGAAACGCTATAGTAAAACCAGTGTCTCAATTATGTGTCTAGGGTCACATTCCTTTCTAATTAACATACTGTAAGTACTTTTTTAACATTCTTGTTAAAGCATCAATTCAGAAAGGAAGAAACTTCAGCAGAAGATCATCTCAAGGGTACTGATTTGGTCGTATAAATTGCATGGAGGCAAAGATGAAACGTAATGGTTTTAAATGTTTTTGACGCTGCCACATTTTGGAAGATAAATTTAGTTTTCAAAGAAATATCCCCATGGCTAAGAAAAATGGGATATTATAAGGTTTGTAACGCAAAGAATGGCGACTCAGTGGATAGACTATTTTTATAAAATATATTTCTTTAGTTTGTGGATTCCTTGTCTGGTTTTGGATATTGTTTTGGTACTTTTTGGTTTTACCAGCCCTTCATCGTTTGTATAGTAAGTTAAGGATTTTCTAATATTTTGGCCGTGAGCATCACTGAAGAGACAATAATTGTCGAAAAACGCATTTGGTTTCGTAAAATTGGTACCATAAATGTAATTATACAGTGTCTCGGTTTTATTTACTCGATGCAACCGATTTTACCTTTTGTCGACTGAACTGCAACTGAAATCTCCTTATGCTGGTCATTGAGCAAATATCCAAAATAGAAAATGCAGTTATCATCCAAGTCTTTGAATTCGCATGGAGAAGTGAAATGTTCTGCAATGAAATAGGTTTGCAAATTAGTTAAATAGGTTCTTTGCGATGACTATGTAATAATGGTCTGATGGATTTATATTTACACCAGTCTCATCAAAGCAAGCTCCCAATATCTTATTTCGTTTACATCAGACTGGATTTACACATGCTTAAAACTTTCTGTTTTCAGTAACTCCTTATCCTTTCGGATCACTTGATTACCCACTCTTTGTGTTTTTGTTCACTCTTTAGTACTCTTTTTGTAGTATTTTGTTTAATTTCTTGTAAGTTTGTTTTCTAGACATGGTGTTTGTTTTCATCTTCAAATTATCATTTCGACTGCCAACTCTTTGGAGGTCTTAAGAAATATGTAGAACAGAATTTAAAAAATTTGATACTGATAACTGACAGAATATATGATCATCTGTAAAACAGAGACGAAAGATATCAAAGGGAAATTCAAACTCAAAGTCGAAATCTACTGACAACGAAAAGGCAAAAAAAGAAAAGACCAAAAGACAAACAACAGCACACAAAACACAACATTTTTTTAAATTCCGATTTTTATCAATTCATTCTGAAAAAGTATCTACGTCTTCTTTCTCGCGTTCAGCCCATTACATGGCTTAATCCTCGACTGAATCCAAATTTTGAGAAGTGTTATTGACAATATTTAGATCACCAGTAATAACATGGCCAGCCGGATTATATATGAATGGTGAATTAGCACAGGTGCAATCAAGAGGTTTAAACTTAGATTCGTCAATATTGAGATCCTGCAACACGTGTTTGTAATTGAAAATGTTTGTTGCAATTGGTTTGGTATAGGTATAAGAAAAGATAAGTACAGATTTATCTTTAAAGTAGGGAGGTATTCTTGAGTGAACTGATTTATGAAGAAGAATCATGCCCAAATTGATGGCATCGAGTCCTTTGTTGTGAAAGTAAAGTTTTTGAAAGGATTATCACCTTTTCATCTTTTCCCATGCGAACTGGTTTGAAAGGTCTGTGACTGGCAATATCCGAAATGATTGCTGTAAGTTTGTTTTGTTTTGAATGGGGGATTGTAACAGTGATTTCGAAAAATAAATTGTACAGAGAATAAAGTTTTGAAAGGGGTAGTGAAATAAGCTTCGTACGAATGTGATAAATATCCAACGGCTTTTGTATAGATGACAGAAGGTCATTAATAGAGAAATCATGGAGAGTAGGTGATGTATAATGACGATTACCCGTCGAAGAGTAGAGTTGAAAATGTTTATCACTTTCACCGAGCTATAGGAAGGACAAGATAGACTACCCATACCATACATTTTGTCGTTGCAACCATATGGTGTCGCAGTTCCCAATTCTCGGAAGCAGTTGTCTTCCTTTTGTCTACGGAGAGGTGTTGCAGGATGAGGATTGTTAGTCCTGATGTATATTTGTTCGATGATGCGAACTTGCATATAAAGGATTGAATGATCAGGCTAATCAAAATATTGGTTAACAATGTCATGTAGTTATTAATGAATGATTTATCATACTTTTTGACTTTCGAATTCAACAAGTGAAAATTGGACTTATCGTTTCTTTTCTTTTCATTCAACTATTATTTTTCTACTACTGGCTGTTTGAGTAGATTTCTAAATCGTTTACTGAAATAAAGATATAGAAAGGTGCGAAGGAGTATGGATTTCGGAACCTTTTTTAGCTTGCATTGCGGTATGCAACCTATAGTTGGTAACCTAACATGCATGGGATATTTGCCACTGGACTTTAAGCAACCAACAATCAATCAGTCTACACCATTCGTTCTCTGGTGGAGAGATGTTTTATTGGCAATCATACAACATTTTCTTATTTTTATATAAAACACATCACAACACAGATATAATTACCCATGAATATGATCGCTTGTGCAAAAAAAAAAACCATCTGCTTACCTTTCCAGAGCACCTGAGATCACCTTCAGTTTTTTTGGTGAGGTTCTTGTTGCTCAGTCTTTAGTTTTCTATGATGTGTTTAGTGTACTGTGTTTGTCTTTCAGTCTTTTTCTTATTTTGCTATTGCGTTGTCAGTTTGTTTTCGACTTATGAGTTCCAATGTCCATTTGGTATCTTTTGCCTCTACTTTATTCTAACTTAAGGGATTAAGACAGTAAAGATATACATATACTTTACCAGAAATCATGATCCACAATGCCATTAACATTAATGCAAGCTATTAGAATGTTTTGGCTTTGGATTTATCAAATGTTTTTACATACTTTTTATAACGGAATTTTTGGACCATCATTAAACTTTTGTAACCTTCGCCTGTTTTACACAAAAAATACTCAAGTAACATTCAAATATAATGATACGTACCTGGAATTGTATCGACAGGATATATGTCGTACCGGTCGTTACAGTTGTTACATCCCTCCTCACTTAACTCACCAGTTCCAAATATTTTACATTGAACACATGCTTTCAACTTTCTACACCAATTGGAGCAATCCTGAAATATCCAAAACGATTAACAGTAGGGCAATTACTGTAATGGTATATTTAGCCCTAGAAATGATAAATGTTTACAATTTATGTGGAGTATTGATTTTGCATTATGAAACTATCCTGTTTTTTGGGGTTTTTTTTTGTGGTGTGTGTATCTGAACCTAAACGGACGGCTAAATTATGCTTGAAATATACAGTGTATGTGATATTCATATATGAGCTGCGTCGGATAGAAATCGACCTTATGCAAGTGCATGTATACATGTACTTGTATAAGACTTTGATTGGTTTTGGAACATTCAAATACGAAATAAAAGATCAATTTTGGTCTGTTTTGTAGGGTTCTTTCGACAATTCAATGTTAAAACAGTTACAGATTTTCCGTAGAGATTTTTTTTAACCCGAAATAGGTTAACAGATGTATTGATATTCATTTGCATAAGGTCGATTTCTATCCGACGCAGCTCATATATAGCTTACTTACGCATGTACACACATCAAATATCTTTTTAGGACGAGAATAATTGGTTTGTTTAACTCAACCCCTAATTTTGGTTTATTGGTATATACTTGAAAATGAAATGAATGCAAAAGTGTCTTTTTCCAGTTTACAAAAGTTCACTTTCGGTTGATTTTTTTGGGGGGTTCTAAATCTTTTTAATTTTGCTTGACATCATACATATGACCTTTAAAGTTCATCCAGAAGTGACCTTTTGCACACTGAAGGTAGTCAATTAATTCAGCGGGAAACACATAAAACCCATATAGTTTTAGAATAGTGACACCGGAAGTAGCTGATCATCTCCCTTAATTCAAAGAACAGAACTACAAACTACGTATTTTTGGAATATTTGCAAGATAAGTTATCTTCTGAAATCGTTTTTGATTATGACAGTAACATTTTTTATTCTAAAAAGTTTTTGCATATATATAAATATCTGTACAAAAGTTAAATTAAACCTTAATTATCAACATAGGAGGAAGAAAGACCGTACATTGTCCTCTGAACATTTGGTTTTTGATTTTATTTAATTTTGTAAAATCTGAATTGATTGACTTTTTCTATTTCATAAAGTACTCTTCTACTTTAATTGTAAATATATGATTTACACCCAATAAAAAGTTCAAAGAACTATTTTAAAGTCAATGAAATAAAATCAATATAACAAAGCAGTACAACTTCCCTTTCATAAACAAAAATTATGTTAAAAACTACCGAGTGAACAACATTAGACATTATTACGTTTTGTTGCAGTGACATACCGGGATTTCCCAGGCAAGAAAAGCCAATTAGTTAACTTGAGAAATAAATCCGATAAAAGTACCCCTCTATCGATGTCCGACCATAGTGCTTATCAAGACTGTTGATAACGTATCATCCAAATGAATTAAGAATGCTTGAAAAAGTTCTATTTCATTATATTTCATACTTTATTTTCATTTAAAAGTTAATGCAATGAAACGATAAACGAATCCAAGAATGAAATATCGAAAGAAAAAAAATCGTGACCAAACGGCACTGATAATTCGTTATGGGCATTCGTCAATGAGTGTGTTGTTCGGTCATTCGTTGAACATTTTTCTATATTGGAATTAGTTTGCATTTGATTAATTGTTTAAATACCATCTCATTCAAGCGGACGATTCTCTGAAACCGACATCATACGGTGTTTATATATCCCAACTCGTTCGTTATGCCCGTGTGTGTAGTGATGTCATAGATTTTAATGAACGTAATCAATGCATCACTGGTAAATAATAAAGTCAGGGATTTCGTTACCATAAATTACGTAAAACTTTTACTAAATTCTTTCATAGATACAAAAATTTGATTAGTAAATTTGGCTGTACCTGTAGAAAACTGATTAAAAACGGTATTTCACATCCTAAATTTTACGATAATATTGTACTTGAAGCGCGGAAATCACTATGTGATCCGTGTAAACTCACCGAACCTTTAAACAAACTTATTAGTGAAGGTTGTCTTACCAATGTTGTAATTAGATCTTTGAATATAGTTTACATTGGCACTAATATCGATTTTGTCATCAGCAAATTAAAACATAACTAAATTTGTATTCTTTTCAAACGGGATGTATAAGGACACACCCACGTTCATTATGATCTATAAAGAGGTTAACTCCTAACTATCCTACTGTCTGTCGATTCATTTATTTTTGGCATTGCAAAAGTCATGTCTTCTTTGACTGTCAATGACGTTAAAATACTAAATCCCCGGGATGTGTTTTAGTTGATTTTAGTCTCTGTTGCATGATTTTTTATTATCAATTGTTTTTGGCTTTTAACTAGCTGTCAGTAATTGCGAGTACTCTCAAATCGTACTTTCTTGTATATTTGACCTGTTGATTCTTATTGTAATGCTTTTTTTTATATTTAATGTAATTCAGGGTTATATCTGGTCTATATACCAGCTTTTATAAGTGTTTGGTATTACTATAAATTTTCACTTCTTCGTACTATGAACATCAAAACTATTTATTTTGTTAAAATATTTCCTTTCTCTATTTGAACTGTACACGTATACCTAACAACAAAATTATTTTCATTTACCTGTGTTTAAAGTAATTGCAAATGGCTGATATTTTTGTTCAAGCATATTGTTTTTCTTAAATTGTTTAACATTTCACAGCGGTATAACATGTTACTTTTATCATTCTTCCCTTAGTTTATTTATTTTGTATTTACATTGTATCATAGATCAAATTTATTTGTTCATTGAATGTTCGCTGGTGTTAATATGTCTTTTGATTGAGTTAAGCCATTTCAATTGATATTTTATAGTGTGTATCTCTATGTTGTGATGTTACACTATTGTTTTAGATAAGGGTGAAGGTTTGGTACCATTAAAACGTTTAAACCCGCTGCAATTATTTGCACCTGTCCTAAGTCAGGAATCTGATGTTCAGTAGTTGTCGTTTGTTGATGTGGTTCATAAGTGTTTCTCGTTTCTCGTTATTTATATAGATTAGACCGTTGGTTTTCCCGTTTGAATGGTTTTACACTAGTAATTTTTGGGGCCCTTCATAGCTTGCTATTCGGTGTGAGCAAAGGCTCCGTGTTGAAGACCGTACTTTGACCTATAATGGTTTACTTTTATAAATTTTGACTGGGATGGAGAGTTGTCACATTGGCACTCATGTCCCATCTTCTTATATCTGTCATCAATATTCTTGAGGTTTTCAATGATAACATATTTGTTAAGTTTGATAAACGTATTGTTTTTTCAACAAGCAGTCGACATTCCTATGCAAATCAACTGTGTCCCTGATCTTGCCGACTTATTCATTTATTCTTTTGCGGCAGACTTCGTACAGGAGCTTCTCAAGAAAAATGAAAAGAAGCTGACATTTTCTTTTCTCATGACGTAATGATGTCATGTGATCATTGCCACAACATTGAATGAAATAGTTTAAAAAAAATCATTACTCGGAAAGTTGTAAGGTGTATCAAAGTAAATACCTTGCAATCTTCACATAAAGGTCCTTGATATCGACTACCTTCATAACAACTACACCTACCACATTCACAGTATCCATGGTTATTACATATGGACTGAAAAACACAAAAAATATATTCTGATCTATCGATAAATAACATATATATAAAACGGCCTACTCTTTGATCAGGTTGTTGTCTCCTTGACGTATTTCCCCCTTTCCATTCTCAATTTTAATTTTACTTCTTCCATTTTACGATTTAATCATAGCTGTAGACACTGATAAACTAATATTCAAACACCCTCTACCTCATATGGGTCAGACTGTTATATGATGTTCCAAACACCAAACACCTTGACTAAAATTAATTTGGTTCGTTTAATTTTCATAAAATGGTGACAAAATATTAACTTTGACCCTTTGACAAAAATATAAAAAACTTGAACCACACACTTTATCGGAAAAATTTCACTGGATATATAGCAGTTTGACAAACACTAATTTTAATCAATGAGAAGCCTTATATTTCCTAAACAATAGAACGTGATTAAAACGTTCAGCTGATTTCTACAGAGTTATCTCCCTGTAGTGTTATGTCCCACCTGAAATAGCTCCACATCCTTGGCTTTCATTTTTGCTTTGCTTTAAAAAGCTTTACACATGATTTTTAAATGAGACATTTATGTATCATATAAATTTTCTATATATAGTATTCAATTTAAAAACAACATTTACCGTGAGACACAATAAAAAAATCCTAAATAAATCGATTTGTATATCGTTATCTATAAGAGTTAACATATGATAACTTATTAAACACTTGTTCCGTTGATTGACAACGTTTGACTTTGTCAGTTTTTATGGACTTCCCCTTTTTTTTAATTTACCTGGAGCTTTTTAGTTACGCCATTTTCTAAAGTTGTACCAATACATTATATATTTTATGACAAAAACGTACCCTGTCAGAAGAGATACATGTATCTGTATTAGTTGTACAACCACAGTTTTCACCTGTATATCTAGGGTTACACGAACATGTACCACAGACACACGTACCATGAGCAGGCCCTAAAAATGTGGACATGGAATCGTCTTTTTAGTCAATACATTAGTTGGTAATTCTTTTAGAGATCTAAATGAAAGAGCTGTTTCATTTAGGAGGGACAGTTTTCATTGACAATGAAGAGTAAGCAGAAGAGGAAATGCAACTGTGCACAATGTGTGTAATCTTCAATTTTCAGATCTTTTATCTTTTAATTATATCTTTGTTTAAGTTATAAAAAAATTTATAATAAAAATATGGATTTTCGATTTTTTCAGGCTCTTCAAATTCGTATTAAAAATTTTAAGCATAGTATAAATGGTGATTTTTTTCTTTGTTTTAAACTACATCAGATAATTATGCTATCTTCGTACAAACAGTTAAACAGGTAGTACAAACACTCAATAGATATGAATAGGGATTATTGGTGGGTTAAATCGGTTGAAAGATGGCATAATAACAATTGACCAACAAAAATTCAAAACACTGAATAGATTGAAAAATATAAGTTTCAGCATAATATGTTAATTTCATAGATGTGTTGTGAACAATACAATTAACAAGTCCACTTCCAACAGTTCTTTGGACCTTTTAATAAATGAACTGATAAATACATAAGGCACAGACATTATTAAATTGTTAAAACAGCAGATCTGCAATAAAAGATGTTTTCTTTCATAAAATAAAAAACAAAATAAAAAAAAGATAATATTATTAGATATCGTTTTTATCTAAATAGTATAGCTCTGGAATCAAATTCAGGACATAGAGTTTTACTTTGAGAGAGCAGGAAAAGAAATGGGCTGCATCTTCTAAATCGTTTAATACTGATATATGATAAAGTTCAAACCTCCACATAAAGCATTGTTAAAGTAGCTGCATGATCTGTCATTACATTCACAATTGTCGCCGTAGTAGAACTGATAACAGGAACATCTTCCATTAGTATTTTCTATGTCCGCGGTTCCCTGTGTGTTTATGATATAATCACCATTGCGACTACATTTTGAACTTTTCAAGTCGACATGTTCCTACAATTTATAATAATACAGATATGAAAAATAATTCATTGTAAAGCTTTATAAGAATTGATTTCTACAGTAGTTATAGAAGCCCAAGTACTAGCAGTATTTGCAGTTGTAACAGTAGTGTTAGTACACATTTCGGAAACTAGCCAACGCCGTTACCTATGCTTAGATCGAGAGCAAAAGGCAATACTTATACAAACATGGGTCTTATTTGCATAATCAATATGCAATGACCCAAGCAACTCTACCAAAAAAAAAAACGACAAGTAATACTTACATGCAATCTGGTTCCCTCCCTTGCAACATACGGGCACCTGACAGATAATGGACAGTGAACCAGTCGACACTCACCTGCAGTGATAATCTAGCATAAATCTATTTAATCATCGTGTAGACTCTAGTACAGGGTTGGCAAATACCCGGGTGTTCCCAGTGGGAAATACTAGTACTGGAAACACGGGGTGAAAAATTGAGTTTGAGCAGCTAATACTTATAGATTATAGATTAATACATGCCTTTTTACCATATCTTGATATCTACCAATGGGCATTTTCTCTAGGGTAAATCTCAATCGAGGGATAATAACAGGGCTAACTGGAAAAAGGCATGTATTAATCTATCTATTCGTATGCATCAAGAAAGTTTAATTACGTATGCAATTACATTTTAAATCAACAGGAAAATCCAGTACAGACAAATTAAAAAAAAAAGAGTTTTCAAATAAAAGACATTATACGGTATATGACCAGACTCCACATCAAAACGTCCAAAAATCATATCTTGCTGTTCCAACATAGCACATAATAACAAAATTGACGGCCAAGTTATATCTATGACACCATCGAAAGATCAAACACATGTCATGATAGTAACATTGCTTAAATTTAATTAGCAGGATATTATCATAAAGAAACAGGGAATATTAATGTTCAAGTCTTTGGGTTTCTGAACTGGGAATTGAAGAAACAGGGAATATCAATGTTCAAGTCTTTGGGGAATTGAACCATCGACTTTTCGTACTAGAAGAGAACTTTTACGATTTGGCAACGTTCACAAAAAGAGAATATTCACATCAAAGGCCAACTACATTTTTGTTAGACTACTAAAACAATTGACTTTTTTCATCCATTTTTATTCTAATTTAGTGTAGGTCCATCTTGAATAAAGCTGTTTATAAATTTGTTGAACCAGAGCTATATACTACAATTATATGTCCCTTGTAGAAAATTATATTTGAATGAATTAAGCTGTTTAGTGTCGAAATTAATTTCATTTAGAAAACTTTTGGCAAATATTTAACATATTTCTTCCGAGTCATAGCTTTTTCTTAGCTCATAAGCTTAGTGTAAAATTGGAGTTAGTTTATTTATTTTAAATACTGAGATAACTTTCAGATATTTTGTTTTTAAAGCAAGCATGAATGTATGTGTATACATGTATTACCAACACATATCACCTCTAATTATGTAAGATCAAATGATGTAACATTAATTTATTACCGTTCTATTAAAAAGTGACCAATACGTGATTATTGCGTCGTTCATCTGAATTTCATAACACTCCAAGATTTTTGATACAAGGAATAGTTTTGAATCCTTTAATTAAAGTTTTTTTCAACATTTTTTCAAAACTGTCTCTCACAGCTTAGAATAAAAGACTTCAGACTAAGTCTAAATTTTCATCTCATGTTTTGTTAACAATCAGAGACATATAACACTACTGTACTCTATGTCTCTATAACATACTTGAAACTTCTAAACTAAATTTTTCTAGTCAAAATGATTATTGATATTTTTGATAAACATTGGTCATGCATGATCTATCCAAAAACTTGAAGTATGACACGTGCCGATAAAAACTTTTATCCTGCAATTGGGTGTCGTACTATACAGATACAGCCCAGCAGATATCGCTAGGCTGTATCTGTATCCTATACAGATATCGTTTTAAAGCTCCGCCCACTGCCGGACTACGTTTGTGTATTGCTGTTGACGAGTGTTGTATGAACCTTCGTCACCTCAGAATGTGTATTGCAATCGCATTCCAATGACGTATGGCTTGACCTTATGTGAACTATAGATTAATTTACGTTCTGTTTGTTTTCAAGCATTTTTTTAGAGCAATATGAAATTAATACATTTTCTGCTAACAGACAAACATGAACAGCAGGATTAACTCCATTTTCTACGGCACCAATCATCGAGTGAAACAATTGAATGTGTACATGTGTAACAGACAAAAAACAACCATGCAACAATGTGTATTGCAATCGCATTCCCTAAATAGATATAAGAAGATGTGGTATGAGTACCAATGAGACAACTCTCCAGCCAAGTCAAAATTTATAAAAGTAAACCATTATAGGTCAAAGTACGGTCTTCAACACGGAGCATTGGCTCACACCGAACAGCAAGCTATAAAGGACCCCAAAAATTACAAGTGTAAAACCATTCAAACGGGAAAACCAATGGTCTAATCTATATAAAAAACGAGAAACGAGAAACACTTATGAACCACATCAACAAACGACAACTATTAAACATCAGATTCCTGACTTAGGACAGGTGCAAACAATTGCAGCGGGTTTAAACGTTTTAATGGTACCAAACCTTCACCCTTATCTAAAACAATAGTGTAACATCACAATATAGAAAGACACACTATAAAATATCAATTTAAATGGCTTAACTCAATCAAAAGACATATTAACACCAGTGAACATACACTGAACAAATATATTTGATCTATGATACAATGTAAATACAAAATAAATAAACTAAGGGAAGAATAATTAAAGTAACATGTTATACCGCTGTGAAATGTTAAACAATTTAAGAAAAACAATATGCTTGAACAAAAAGAATGTTTAGTTAAACAAATCTTTCTAATTAAAATATGAAAAAAATACACATAATTTATGTTGTAGTAAGCAAACAAATCAACTGATTATTGATATTTTTGATAAACATTGGTCATGCATGATCTATCCAAAAACTTGAAGTATGACACGTGCCGATAAAAACTTTTACCTGCAATTGGGTGTCGTACTATACAGATACAGCCCAGCAGATATCGCTAGGCTGTATCTGTATCCTATACAGATATCGTTTTAAAGCTCCGCCCACTGCCGGACTACGTTTGTGTATTGCTGTTGACGAGTGTTGTATGAACCTTCGTCACCTCAGAATGTGTATTGCAATCGCATTCCAATGACGTATGGCTTGACCTTGTGTGAACTATAGATTAATTTACGTTCTGTTTGTTTTCAAGCATTTTTTTAGAGCAATATGAAATTAATACATTTTCTGCTAACAGACAAACATGAACACCAGGATTAACTCCATTTTCTACGGCACCAATCATCGAGTGAAACAATTGAATGTGTACATGTGTAACAGACAAAAAACAACCATGCAACAATGTCAATTTCAGCATGTTCAGTGAATGTCACGTTCAGTTAAAAATTTTGAAGCGTAGGACAAATCATACTCTTTTGTTTTAAATCGGACAATGTTTTGTTAATTATTTTAACTGTTGAAGTAGTTGTTATATTATAATAAGTAATTATTTACTTTGAGCGATGTATTATTGTTGACCATACGAGATTCTTTCTGTGAACCCGTCTTCAGCTGACTGTGTGATTTTAATATTACTACGCGGGCCTCAAGGGAAGTTTAAATCGAAAATAAAGGCAATAAATGTGAGTTTTCTGTCTTTCAAAGCCAAAGCAAAATACTAAATTAATTGCAGGATAAAGACAATAACTGTTTAGTGTCTTTAAATATCAGCTGTATTTGTACTCGGCTCGAAACAGGAGTAATAGCTCGCTAAAGCTCGCATTACACCTGTTTCTTAGCCTCGTACAAATACAGCTGATATTTAAAGACACTAAACAGTTATTGTCTATGTATACCTTCATATTAATTGCTTTGATATTCGTTAAACAAGCATTTCAAGGTTTGAAGAAGAATTTTAACGGATACAATATATTACATGTTCATAGTATAATTGACAATATACGAGGATGATACGTCTGTGGATTAGAGATAAGGAAGTTGCAAGTGAAATTTATTTCCTAAGGCGATGTTTCATGTAACAATAATTGTGTAATAAATTTGAAAATAACTGCAAGGTCCAAAACTGTGTTATAAGTGTTTAGATTCCAAATTTTTTCTAAAGAATCTGTTGGCATATTGAAGGTTTGATCTATAAATAGTTCTAAAACATGTACTCATTTTGAGTTTTTGGTGCCAATCCAATTCTAAGATGACCGCCATCATTAAAAGTAGTTAAACATAGAACCTGGAGAAAAAACATATAAATCAAATATATCACACGATCAACAATACTATCCACGCTGATCTGTGTCCAAAGTTGTATGACATGAAATATTATCATTTGAAATGACTTACCTGGGCGCTTCCCCTATATGAAACACACAGTACAAAGAAAAAAAAACCACGAAGAACCAACATGTTTGCAACTATAGATTGACTAAAAAAACAACCCTAGGAAATGAATACTGTAACCTTTCGTTGAAATAAATATAGACACAACACGTTTCCTTAATTATGTATATTTATTTTTATAATCATATTTCAAATGGTCTAGTTGAAAGAATATAAGTGGTAACTTTATGTCAATTTGCATATTATCAGTGTTTAAAAAGAAATGTTAAAAGTAATTTTTACACGAGCAACGTCATACCGTGCCACCGATCTGTAGCTGTATATTTTAGCTATCCTGATACAAAAAGCATGTATAAACTATTGCCGCCACTTGGCGACCAATGTCCGTAATATTTAAAAATCATCTCCCCTGAAATTACTGGAAAAATTTACACACACTCCCTAAATAGATATAAGAAGATGTGGTATGAGTACCAATGAGACAACTCTCCAGCCAAGTCAAAATTTATAAAAGTAAACCATTATAGGTCAAAGTACGGTCTTCAACACGGAGCATTGGCTCACACCGAACAGCAAGCTATAAAGGACCCCAAAAATTACAAGTGTAAAACCATTCAAACGGGAAAACCAGTGGTCTAATCTATATAAAAAACGAGAAACGAGAAACACTTATGAACCACATCAACAAACGACAACTACTAAACATCAGATTCCTGACTTAGGACAGGTGCAAACAATTGCAGCGGGTTTAAACGTTTTAATGGTACCAAACCTTCACCCTTATCTAAAACAATAGTGTAACATCACAATATAGAAAGACACACTATAAAATATCAATTTAAATGGCTTAACTCAATCAAAAGACATATTAACACCAGTGAACATACACTGAACAAATATATTTGATCTATGATACAATGTAAATACAAAATAAATAAACTAAGGGAAGAATAATTAAAGTAACATGTTATACCGCTGTGAAATGTTAAACAATTTAAGAAAAACAATATGCTTGAACAAAAAGAATGTTTAGTTAAACAAATCTTTCTAATTAAAATATGAAAAAAATACACATAATTTATGTTGTAGTAAGCAAACAAATCAACTGATTATTGATATTTTTGATAAACATTGGTCATGCATGATCTATCCAAAAACTTGAAGTATGACACGTGCCGATAAAAACTTTTACCTGCAATTGGGTGTCGTACTATACAGATACAGCCCAGCAGATATCGCTAGGCTGTATCTGTATCCTATACAGATATCGTTTTAAAGCTCCGCCCACTGCCGGACTACGTTTGTGTATTGCTGTTGACGAGTGTTGTATGAACCTTCGTCACCTCAGAATGTGTATTGCAATCGCATTCCAATGACGTATGGCTTGACCTTGTGTGAACTATAGATTAATTTACGTTCTGTTTGTTTTCAAGCATTTTTTTAGAGCAATATGAAATTAATACATTTTCTGCTAACAGACAAACATGAACACCAGGATTAACTCCATTTTCTACGGCACCAATCATCGAGTGAAACAATTGAATGTGTACATGTGTAACAGACAAAAAACAACCATGCAACAATGTCAATTTCAGCATGTTCAGTGAATGTCACGTTCAGTTAAAAATTTTGAAGCGTAGGACAAATCATACTCTTTTGTTTTAAATCGGACAATGTTTTGTTAATTATTTTAACTGTTGAAGTAGTTGTTATATTATAATAAGTAATTATTTACTTTGAGCGATGTATTATTGTTGACCATACGAGATTCTTTCTGTGAACCCGTCTTCAGCTGACTGTGTGATTTTAATATTACTACGCGGGCCTCAAGGGAAGTTTAAATCGAAAATAAAGGCAATAAATGTGAGTTTTCTGTCTTTCAAAGCCAAAGCAAAATACTAAATTAATTGCAGGATAAAGACAATAACTGTTTAGTGTCTTTAAATATCAGCTGTATTTGTACTCGGCTCGAAACAGGAGTAATAGCTCGCTAAAGCTCGCATTACACCTGTTTCTTAGCCTCGTACAAATACAGCTGATATTTAAAGACACTAAACAGTTATTGTCTATGTATACCTTCATATTAATTGCTTTGATATTCGTTAAACAAGCATTTCAAGGTTTGAAGAAGAATTTTAACGGATACAATATATTACATGTTCATAGTATAATTGACAATATACGAGGATGATACGTCTGTGGATTAGAGATAAGGAAGTTGCAAGTGAAATTTATTTCCTAAGGCGATGTTTCATGTAACAATAATTGTGTAATAAATTTGAAAATAACTGCAAGGTCCAAAACTGTGTTATAAGTGTTTAGATTCCAAATTTTTTCTAAAGAATCTGTTGGCATATTGAAGGTTTGATCTATAAATAGTTCTAAAACATGTACTCATTTTGAGTTTTTGGTGCCAATCCAATTCTAAGATGACCGCCATCATTAAAAGTAGTTAAACATAGAACCTGGAGAAAAAACATATAAATCAAATATATCACACGATCAACAATACTATCCACGCTGATCTGTGTCCAAAGTTGTATGACATGAAATATTATCATTTGAAATGACTTACCTGGGCGCTTCCCCTATATGAAACACACAGTACAAAGAAAAAAAAACCACGAAGAACCAACATGTTTGCAACTATAGATTGACTAAAAAAACAACCCTAGGAAATGAATACTGTAACCTTTCGTTGAAATAAATATAGACACAACACGTTTCCTTAATTATGTATATTTATTTTTATAATCATATTTCAAATGGTCTAGTTGAAAGAATATAAGTGGTAACTTTATGTCAATTTGCATATTATCAGTGTTTAAAAAGAAATGTTAAAAGTAATTTTTACACGAGCAACGTCATACCGTGCCACCGATCTGTAGCTGTATATTTTAGCTATCCTGATACAAAAAGCATGTATAAACTATTGCCGCCACTTGGCGACCAATGTCCGTAATATTTAAAAATCATCTCCCCTGAAATTACTGGAAAAATTTACACACACTCCCTAAATAGATATAAGAAGATGTGGTATGAGTACCAATGAGACAACTCTCCAGCCAAGTCAAAATTTATAAAAGTAAACCATTATAGGTCAAAGTACGGTCTTCAACACGGAGCATTGGCTCACACCGAACAGCAAGCTATAAAGGACCCCAAAAATTACAAGTGTAAAACCATTCAAACGGGAAAACCAGTGGTCTAATCTATATAAAAAACGAGAAACGAGAAACACTTATGAACCACATCAACAAACGACAACTACTAAACATCAGATTCCTGACTTAGGACAGGTGCAAACAATTGCAGCGGGTTTAAACGTTTTAATGGTACCAAACCTTCACCCTTATTTGAAACAATAGTGTAACATCACAACATAGAAAGACACACTATAAAATATCAATTTAAATGGCTTAACTCAATCAAAAGACATATTAACACCAGTGAACATACACTGAACAAATAAATTTGATCTATGATACAATGTAAATACAAAATAAATAAACTAAGGGAAGAATAATTAAAGTAACATATTATACCGCTGTGAAATGTTAAACAATTTAAGAAAAACAATATGCTTGAACAAAAAGAATGTTTAGTTAAACAAATCTTTCTTATTAAAATATGAAAAAAAATACACATAATTTATGTTGTAGTAAGCAAACAAATCAACTCTGAAATTCCTATCTAAGATCATCTCATGAAAATTTATGACCGTTATGGAGTATCCGTTTGACAACGGATATGTTCCAATTGTCGTAACTACAATCCTGTCTCCTTTTCCCCGAATTTGACCTACCGATTTGGAATTATCACCGGATTTGTACTAGCATGAGCAACACGACGGGTGCCACATTTGGAGCAGGAACTGCTTACCCTTTTGAAGCACATGAGGTCACCCCACGTTTTTAGTGGGGTTCGTGTTGCACGGTCTTTGGTTTTATATGTGGTGTTTTGTGTACTGTTGTTTGCCTGTCTTTTTCTTTTTTTGCAATGGTGTTGTCAGTTTATTTTTGATTTATGAGTTTGAATGTCCCTTTGGTATCCTTCGCCGCTTTTTTATCTGATAGATATTATCTATTCCGAGTCGAGTGCACCTGCCACGTGCGGGATTCGATCTCACAACATCAGTGTTGACATGCTAGTGATGCAGTAGTTCGATCTTGATTAATTAGGTGGCTGGTAATATTAACATACACATACGTGTGTGCTTGCTTAATAAACAAAATATCAGTCTCTGAAAAAAATAAAATATAGTAAACATTTATTAAATTTGCAGAACTTGTATTTAAATTGAATAGTTTTGTTTTGTTTATATTAGAAAAAGCAATTTGAAAAACTTGATAAGTTGAAAATTTAACGTAAAATTTTCTTTTTCTAAAAAAACCTTTTATTTTGTTATAATTATACTTGTCCAGGATCCAATCTTAATTGACTAGGATTGTCAGTTTTCCTACCAATGGTCGGTGGTTCTCTCCGTGCACTCCGGCTTCCGCCATCAAAACTGACATCTAAAAGTAGAAGACTTCAGAGTAAGTGTAAATTTCCATCAAATGTTTTTTTTTCCATCTTTCATCTTTAAAACTCATTTATTAGATAATTTCTAATCAACATCATTATTGATATTCTTAATAAACATTGGTCATGAATGACTTAACCCAACACTTAAAGTATGACACTTTTAACTTTATAATTATTGTTTTGATACTCTCAAAACGATCGTTTTCAGGTTGGAAGAATAATTTTCTTTCGATTGTTATAAATTCATTTTGATTTTGAATTTAATTAAATGTCCTAAATGCACCCTGGAGTCCTAAGCGGTGAGTGGACGTTCACAAGTGCAAAAGTATTTATAATCTCCAATTTTAGCGCCAGTTATCCATTGGGAACAAACTCGAGTTTGTATTTTTTGGAAGTGGATATCTATTATGTGACGTGTTGCTTAGTCTTTAGTTTTCTATGTTGTGTCATCTGTACTATTATTTGTCTGTTTGCCTTTTTTTTGGCCATGGCGTTGTCAGTTCGTTTTCGATCTATGAGTTTGACTGTCCCTCTGGTATCTTTCGTCCCTCTTTTATTGAGTAATTAACATTTGCAGTAATTACAGTCTCATTTTGGTCTTTTCGAAATTAAACGGCAAGATCGGCATATGTAAATTTAACAGAGAAGTGTATCATCGTAAAAAAAGTAGAGATAGATTTGATATAGTATCATAAGTTTAGTTAGACATTAGATGAAGGACGGATTGATAACGATTTAATCCATATGCCCTATATTTAATTGGAATTAATCTTTAAAAAAAGCGTCTTTGAATAACGGTCTAAGTTCATACAAACTTCGACATTATGCAATCCGGTCACATCTGAAATTCAAATAAAACCTAGCTTGAATGTACATAACATGCATAGCAAAAAATGCAAAAGAAAAAGCCCGAATCAATCGGTGATTATTCTGATATCATTTAATTCGTTGGAACGCGGGCAAACCCTTACTACGAAATGGCATAAGCGTTTATTAAATAATCCGTAATTGTAATATCATTCTTTAGCGGTTTCAATATTTACATGTTCAAATTTATGACGCGAGGTGAATATATTTGTTTATTAAACTTCACGTCAAAATGCAAGATTTTGATTGGCTAATGCGAGGGAGATAATTTACTCTACTCCATGGCTCAGAGGGAGACAATTTTTTTTAATGAAACCCTCTCGTGCAGACCAATCAAAAATCGAAAATTTAAAGGACAATGAATTGAAATTATATCGATAAATAAAAGACAAGTTTTACGTTTTGTCCTCACAAGTTTTTCATAGACTGTCAAAATTAAAAAATACATTTTGCTTCACTTCTGTAGTTTTTCTAATAACTGTAACGTACTTTGTTATGTATGCGACGTCATAGTTAAGTACTTTCAATTTCGAATTTAACAGTAAAAGACAATAATGATAAGACATTCATTATGCTAAATTGAATAGCACATAGCTGAGCGGGTGATAGATCAGAAACTGCATGTGACATATACTATGGGTATCGGTATCGGTTTCGACCCGGAACTTGTTAATCGTTGGTAATATTAATTATTTAGAAAACAAAAGGGCCTGGAATGGTGTAATTTTGAATCAACACCATTGTCCTATATTAGTTATATATAAAGTTGAATTCTTTTATTCGTGGTTTTTAGGTCATGACGGCTAACAACTTAGACCTCGTTATTTTAATAGTATTGATATAATTTGAAATGACTTACCTTGGCGCTTCCTCTTTCTAAAACACACGGAACAAAGAAAATTACACAACGAAGGACCAATGTGTTTGCAACTCTAGACTGACTAAAAAAAATAATCTATGTCATCTGAAAAACTAATGAATATGAAATCAACTTACTTATGATGACAAAAGAATCACTAAAGGAATATTATTTATTATTGTTCCATTTTATAATATTTTTTCAACCTGTGGTATTCTATTTGGTTCAATTCCCATTCTCGAAACCCAAAGACTTGAAAGTTAGTATTCAATGTTTCTACGCTAAGGGACGACATCATAAGTTCAATGTAGGATAAAAAATTTAATTCACATAGTTTTTTCACTGACCCCCACCCCCTTCTTAACTTAATTTGGGAAAAAATTGATTGACCAATATGGGCATATGCTCTCAGAGTATACTTTTTGTATCATGTTTTTCCTCAACAATGTATGTTTGTTCTGTATATTGACTTGGACATGACTTTTAAAAAATATTGGAAAAAAGTTATTTGTATTTTTATTATGCATCAAAAAAGGCACGGTTAAATTATAATTTTACAAACACAACAGTCAGCATGGATTCTGCATTTTTAATCTGCCCACTATTGGCATGGGTAAACAGTGGGTTTATTGTTTTGATTGCTTTTGTTTCTTTTCTCAAATGAATATAAAACAGTTCATTGTTTCATTTAACGTATATAGCTTAAAACTAAATAGTGGTCCATTGAAATGTATGGTGATGACAGGGCAGTGCATTTGTGCCAAATGGGGAGAGAGGGGAAAAGCACAATCCCTAATGAATATAGTGAATGTGATATGATCTATGTAATCTCTATTCAATGTCTATTGACCACTATCATATTTTTCTACTATCTCACAAAATTCTATAAAACTTTCAAATTTGTATTTGAATTTATATTTCAGTTTTCATTTTAATAATTAGATAATTAACACAATTTCAGAAGAAATTTTATAGTTTATTTTTGAATGTCACCATGCCGTGTGGACCTAAACAATCTGTGTTGATCTGTATATGGTTTCATACCATTCAAAATTCACGATCGATATTGCGTTTGAACGACATAGATACTATGATTAATTTCGCCCCAATACTTTCGGCCAAAATGTGCTTTCCGGTACGATTTGATGGATTTCATTTGGTTTAAAAGTCCAAACATATGTAAGGGCCGAACTTGAATCCGTATTTTTCAATCCGAAAATCGATGTCGGATAACAAAACTTGCAGCGATTTTTACCCACCCACCCCCAAACTATTTGAATTAATTTTTTTTTATCCGACATCGATCTTTTGATGTCGTCCATAAACAAGTGCAAGTGACATTTAGAAAACAACGTTTTATCCACCATTTTCTGCATAAAGAAATAACTGTACCAAGTCAGGAATATGAAAGT